ATACCAAAAAAAAAAAAATTAAGTCAATTCCTACTTCCACAAGAAAATTTAAAAAATACAAAAATAAATAAATAAATAAATAAAAATACAGACAGAATATTTTTTAAATTAAAAATTTTAAAAAATTTAATATGTGAAAAAACTGTATTAACATTAAGTGTCATTCACTACAAGTTTAAAAAATTGTATTTGAACTTGAGTGGATGAATAAAAAGGATTTTATGTACTCAAAATTTCAACAAGATATAGGGAGAGTGTGAGCTAATAGTAGGAATTTAATAATTCTGGATATTCATTTCGCAAACGAATCAGTACGAAAAAAAAAAAATCTCTTTGAACAGGTCGCTCTAAATAAATCTTTCGGACCCATTCTTGTCATTTTTTGCAGTTTTGCCTCTGCTTAATGATTGCACTTAATAGTAAAGTTTCAGCTATAAAAAAAAATCATCTGATTCGGACAACTTGCCGCAAAACATACAAAAGCACAGCGAAGTAATAAGATACAGCTCTGTTGACGCTATATTACAGCGTCACGTGATTTTTGCGCAAAATAATTCTATTGGTTAAACGCACTCTTCGCAAGTGTACTCGTTTGGACGCTTTTACGCTGGTAACGTAAAAGCGCGTTCGTCAGCTATGTTTCGAGTGTACTTGTGTGGACGGGCCTTCAGACAACTGTGTCGATGGGGCGCCAACCCACCGAACAGTCAAAAGTCGTTAATTCGGACACCCATAATTCGAAATGATCTATAATCCGGACCTCAAAGCTACAAACTTTCTTCGCATGTGTCGCGTTGATGCATGCGCGTAAAAGCCCATCCACACGAGTATGCTCGCTACGTAGTTGACGCAACTTTTTTGACGCCGGCGTAAATTCGCGTGACGTAGAAGACGTAAAACTGAGTTCGTCTTCAGCTTTTTTGCCCGCGACGCGCGCATATAGTCAATAGCTGACCGAGTTCTTATCACGTGTCATGATCAGAAAACCTTCTTGCTTACCCATTTGAATATGGCGTCAGAACCACACAAAGATGAGTTTTTGCTTAGAAATATCATAACAGTATACAGCAATAAAATAAGCAGCATTATTCACGCCATCTTCAGATTTCTCAAACCGTATATATTGGTATAAATTGAAAATTCTCATTAAAGGGGAAAACTATATTTATAAAGCAATGATCCGACCAGTATATCCATATGATTCGACCAGTATATCCATATGCTTCACCTGTTTATAACACCGTAAGTAATAGGAACCTAAATAAATTACAGTTTCTACGAAATCAAAGTTTCCGCCTTACAAACATTCTCCTTTAATTATTATAAATATTGGCTTTATCATGTCTAATAAAAAGCTCTATAAATATCCCTATATTAAATACACCAAAAACTAACTTCGGCAATATAACAACTTCTAAAATAAAGTAGTTGACTGTGAAAGAGTATTCAATAAAATACAATTACGAAATTTTGGAGGAAAGTTACAACTTGTGTCATACAGCAATCATTTATTGAAGTTTAATTAAATTACATTTGCTGCGACTTCTACTTGTTTCATTATTTTTCACAAGCAATGCTGTCACAGATAGCTGAGTGGTCAACGCGCTGCTTTGGTGGCAGAGGAATGGAAAGGTGGCGAGTTCGAACCTCACCCGTAGACGGTATTATAATTCAGTTAGCTTTTCTCATTTTGAAACGTGTTTCATATATTTAATCATGAATCATTGTATTCTTATTTTACCTATAATTAGTGTTTTCATTTCTTATTTTATTCATTGTTGTTATTGTTTTTAATTTAGTTTAAAAATGTGCAGTGCAAATAGAAATCCTTATGTAATAATATATCTGCATCTCTTTATCATATATCATCTATAAATTCTCTCTTTATTTTTATTTTATTGCATATTTTATCATGCACATAATTTCTCATAAACTGCTCAAAGTTTGAACCTCATTTTAAATTCAAAAATAAATAAAAAGAAAAACAAAAGACCAAGGGATGTTCCATGTTCCATGATAAATATGAAAAAATATGAAGCTGGTTTTATTATGCGGTGGATGGTGGATGGTAAAGAGAATTAAGTAATTTATTATAAATCCTAATTTTCATACAATATAGAATCTGCAAGTCTGTCAAACTGGTCGATACTCATCCTGAAGTAATTTAAAAACAAGTAATATACAAAAAAAAAAAAAAAAAAAAAAGTCAATTCCTACTTAGGCCCACAAAGAAAAATTTAAAAAATACAAACAAATAAATAAATAAAAATATAAACAGAATTTTTTTAATTAAAAATTTAAAAAATTTTAATGTATGAAAAAGCTGTATTTGAACTTGAGGGGATGAATAACAAGCATTTTATGTACTGAAAATTTGAACAAGATATAGGGAGAGTGTGAGCTAATAGTAGGAATTTAATAATTCCGGATATTCATTTCGCAAACGAATCGGTAAAAAAAAAAATCTCTTTGAACAGATCGCTCTAAATAAATCTTTCGGAGCCATTCTTGTCATTTTTTGCAGTTTTGCCTCTGCTTAATAATTGCACTTAAGAGTAAAGTTTCAGCTATAAAAAAAAATTATCTGATTCGGACAACTTGCCGCAAAACATACAGAAGCACAGCGAAGTAATAAGATACAGCTCTGTTGACGCTATATTACAGCGTCACGTGATTTTTGCGCAAAATAATTCTATTGGTTAAACGCACTCTTCGCAAGCGCACTCATTTGGACTCTTTTACGCTGGTAACGTAAAAGCGCGTTCGTCAGCTACGTTTCGAGCGTACTCATGTGGACGGGCCTTTACGGCTGCGAATATGCGTGTGCGCATGCGCATAATACGTTCACGCAAGCGCGTTTAATGTATAACGGACGGTATAAGCTAAGCTAAAATTATCTAATTCAGTTAATGTTGCAGATTGCGTTGTTCCATAATCTTCGAATTGGATTTGGCTTCAGAAAATTTTTTTCAGACTGTTAGAGCAATTTTATATAAGTTAGCTTGAACTTTCGATTATATCAAATAGAATTTCCGATGCTGGAGCTCCCAAAGGATCTACAAAGCGAAAGTATATTTCGATGTCCATCAAACAAAAAGTGGAATTGCTGCAAAAAGTGGATAAAGGCATATCCTTTGTTTCTCTAACCATTCCGAAATCTGTTTATCAATTTCACACTGCTCTGCGGCGGGTGAGGGGATGCCGCGGCGCGCAATGAATTGGAAGTTGATCTGTCAGGGGCCAGCTACATGGAAGTTTTCATAACTATCCTTATCTTCAGGGCAAATGTTTTAATTTTATTTGGCTTATTAATTCCTTACTAATGATGTAGTATTTCATCTCGATGTACTCCGTCTTTAATATGATTTAAATAAAATTCCCCGTCATTATAATTCGCTTCCGATAGTGAAGAAAGTGACACAGAGGTTATTGAAAACGGAAAAATTTCGATTGAGAAATTAGTCAGTATTCTCGACACAGCAATTATAGGACTTGAACAGCGGAACTTTGTAACTGAACAAGAAATTATGTCTGTTTATAGAATTAAAGAGAAAGTATTATCACATAAAACGAAGCAACTTAAACAACTTACATTGAAAGAAGTGTTTAATAAAGTTTTGTAAATTTTGATACCCTTTAGATCATAATTGTTCTTTATTTCATAAATTATGGTTTCATATTTTTAATTTTATAATTTCTGCATGCCATATTACCAGATTTAAACTGATGATCTATAATCCGGAATCGCCGAAGTCCCGACGAGTCCGGATTAACGACTTTTGACTGTATAGTTTTCGCCCATCCACCGGTAAATTTATAGCACTTTCAATTTCTCAAAATTGCTGGAAGGCATACTCAGTTATAGTTACACTGAGATGGGACAAAAATTAGTCGTCAAAACCATCACCAGCTTGGAGCTATGTTGCCAAAGCCATTTACCTCTAGGTTAAATGAACTTTTAAGTACATGGAAATGGTTGGTAACATATCGCAAATTATTTTTAATCATTTTTCTATATATCTTAAATTATTTTAAATTTTAAGCTCAAAATATAATTTATTTTCATGCTTTTTTTTTTTTTTTTTTTCCTGGTGTCTATTAAGTTTTGAATAAAACATTTGTTTCTGTTCTATTTACTCATGTTATGTTGTCAGCAAAAGATTTTAGAAAATAAAAAATGATGGTAAATTATCAGCAATCTTGTTTTAATTCTCAATTTTGGCAAATGACTGGCAACTGGAAAAGTTTGTAAATTTACATCTTTTACAAAATAAGGAACGAATAATACTAAATAAATGGTAAATTTATATTTCCAACAAGGTTGTAGAGACATTAGGTATATTTTTAGAAGCAGGAAAGATGAAAAATAGCAACCACCTTTGCCGGGAATCGAGCCACGGACCTCTGGAATACCGGCCCAGTGTGCAGAACCGCTAGACCACAAAGATACGCTAGGAAAGTGGGAAAAATACCTTTTAAGGTATGGAAGGAATTACAAAAAAATTGACTACGAATTACATTGTCAGTTTTGCTAAGTTATCGATAATAAAAAAATTTAGTAAATTAAATTCCCTGCAAAGTGAGAAAGAAACAATTTTAATGAACAGGTACATGTGGAATCTAGCACGGCACCTCTGTATTACCACAGGTATTGGTAAATGGTTAGAAGGCATTAAGCTTCCTCCGGAATTTTGAAAAAGAGCACCCTGAGGGAGATGGCAATCAAAGTCTTTCACCCCCTATTTCCACTGCTACAAACATCTTAAAAGGACTTTGGCTTGTCCTATGTTCTGAGTGCCCTCTTGCTGCACAGAACTTGTATACTTGCAAACATCCATCCGTTCTCCAAGATTTGAGCTCAGGCCCATCGGTATGGCAGTTAGTGTCACTAACCTCTGTACTGGCTAGACAGCAATATTAGCAAACAGAATGTTTTTCAACAAAATGTATGAATTTTATAATTCCTAAAACTCTAACTTTGAACATTTTTTTCCCCACAGCGTGTGCAAGCATTATGCAAAGAAAAACAAGAATGCAAATTAGAAGTATCACCTAAATTATTAAATGAAGATTTGTGTCTTGGTGTTCAGAGGTACTTCGATGTGGCTTACAAATGTAGACCAAGTAAGCTATTCTTTTTAAATTAAAGGGAAAATAAATTAAATATACATTTTTTACTTTTATCAGTTTAAAAAATTCATAATGGTGCTTTTTAAACAAGATTGAATTATTTGTAATTTATGTAATCTTTAAGTAGTTATCAATGCAGTAATTTTATTGTGGGAGAAGAAAAATGCAAAATTCACAGGATAAGTAATAAAAGTTGGTGAAACTTTCACGACCTGGAATTTATGCTAACAATTTCGCAAAAGACTCCTTGTGTAGATTTGTATTAAAAATTCAGAATTGAATGGAAGTCTACCAGAAACAAAGTAATAGCACAAATAACTAAGTGAATATTATATTATAATTATTTTAATTGCAATGTATGTTTATAAGCCAATCAAATTGTTGAAATATATTTAACAGTTACTTTAAATCAAGAATATCATTCAGCTGGTTACTGTTTTTATACATTATATTGCACATACACTGATCATTAAGTAACTTAAATATATATATGTGTATATATGTAAAGGCATAAAGTAAGAAATTTAGAACAAATGTTTCACAAAGATCAAAAATTAAAAATCATAATTAATAAATTTCAAATAATCCATTAAATGTTACATAGAATTTAAAAAAATGTTAAAACCAAAACTCTTCAAACAAGCAATACCCCAATTCAAAAAATTAATGATATTTAAAGAAAAATGAACAAAACAGAAGATTGAATTCAATCATTGCAATTGAAATGCATTTTATGCAATTGATATTTTTAAAATATTGAACAAGAATGCAAAATTTTTGGAAGTGCAACAATAAAAAAAATCTTAAATTTCTCGTGTCAGCACTGAAAACAAATGTTGAAGGAAAGAAGGAAATTTGAGGGGTGGAAGCAAAAATTTGAAGGGCAAGCTATTTCAAGAAAGTTGGGTATTCAAAGAGGAAACACTTGGAGTGTATGCCAGCAAATACCAGCAATTGAGCTTGTGCTAACGGAAAAGACAAAAATGATATCATTGCAGATTAAAGTGAAGAACCAGTTTTCGATTATATGATCATATAAATTTAAATTACATCATAGAACATCATGTGGTATAAACGGAGAATCTCATGATTTCTCTGTCGAATTATTTGAAGATTCAGGAATTTATCCAGTGACTTAAATGTCATCTAAAGACGTTTTTTCCTCTTGATGAAACCAGTCTTTCCTTTCATCTCATGCCTTCAAAATGCCTAGCCTCTAAAGATTGATAAAAACTCTGACTAAATACTGATGAAATGAATTGAATTTGATTATTAAGTTATGGGAAAGCAGGACTTTCTGCCTAAAAGGAGGAGTGCCTTCGGGAAGAACTTTCTCAGCGAAACCAGCTCGTATGCGCATTACACATGAGAAAAACCTTGAAAACACCCATGCAACTAGCCTGTTCGCCGGGATTCGAACCTCGGAGTGAACTACCAGCGTTCAGCGACGTTACCGCTCGGCCGTTTGTGGGCCCTTATGAAATGGAAGGCAAAAACTTTATTTAAAATGAATGTCAGAAATACCAAGATGTTTCAAAGAGCTGGATGCTTTTTAATATACTTGCAGAATGCCTGAAGAGCAAGCCATTAAGAAGAAAAATAAATTTTTGCATAAAATTTAGTATTTTTTTTAATTTAAAGCTTTTTTTTATCTTATGATATTCGATTCTTGCTATTTCAAAAATAAAATATTTGACTAAAATATGAATAACATTTTAAAACACTAAATGTAGGATCACAAAATTGTGTAAAACAATGGGCATAATGATAAAACTGTTTAAAGCAATGGTATGCAAATCATCCTAGGTTAGAATGTCACTTATACATCTCTCTGTATGTATCTTTTCTGAACGGCCCATTGAAAGGCATGTTAACTGTGCTTTACTGTATTTTTCTCTTTTAATATATGCAGTTTTCAAATGCATCATGGTCTGAGTCACAAAGTATTCTTTAGAAAGAAATGCAATTCTCAAATAAATAAAATCAAATTCTGGAAAATGTATATTAATAACTATGTATATTATAATTAAAAATATAATGTAAAGAAAATTATTTGTCAAAACGAGTGACTTTTTCTCCGCTCATGCACAATGTAAAAAGGGAAAGGAAAATAGGTTGCCATATATTAAGAATTTCGCCAAGTGAACTGTTCTTGCCGCAACTGAAAAAAATCTGCCAAGATAAAATTTTGAATTTCTCCATAAATTTCGCACCAAATTTTACAGAATTTAATATTTATGCATAATTTGTGACGTAGACTCAGAATATGTAAAAAAAAAAAAAAAAAATTTATTTCAAAAAAATGTCCCGTTTTGTGTCAAAATACCTATGTTAGGACAGTGCTATATATAAATATAATATATATCCTAAATTGCGCTTTCAAGACAGGAAAAACACAATTTGAATTTTGTCAATTAGCTCAGTAGAACGGGAGACATAGAACTGTCCCATTTTTTTGTTTTGCGCAATATAGCAAAACATTTCAACAAAATTTTTGAGTGTCTGAATTACAATGCAAGTTACTGATCAACACTTTTTGAATAATTTTATTTTATTTCAAGCAATATTTTGATGATATTTGTTTTGCAACAAGCAAAGCTTAAAATAGACAAAAACATTATATCAGAAGTCTAAATTTCAACAATATAAGTGTCCAAAGACAAATGTGATCTATTGTATATACATATAACCAAGAAAGAAATTTTCTGATTGTCAAAAGTACTAGTCAAAATTACTGGCAATAATAACTCACTGGTATAGTTTGTTTCCTTTTTTTACTATAAATGAAATATTTCAAAATTTTCTTCTGGTGTGTATATATTCAGGCTTATTATTATCTTTAAGCAAATGTTCAGGATGCAGATCAGACCTGTTTTGAAATAGGAATTACTTCCGTATGCAGTGTTTAAATTAATGGATTATACTTGAATATACTTTATGTTAAAATTTATGTTTAGTGTTTACAAATTAAATATTTTATTGAATTTTCAGATAAGTTTTTCACTCGTATTGCATGTGAAGATGGAAAGTTACGATTGCGCTGCCACAAATCCTTAAGGATTATTATATTCAGTGCATTCTTTGGAAGCACAGAGAATGGAGAACAAATTTGTGCTGCAGAGAAGCATCAAATATATGAATGTAAGTTTCATTTTTATAGCAGTTTCCTAATAAATAAATAAATAAAATAAATAAAATTAAAATTAAAAAAAAAAAAGGTTTGTAAAATAAATTTCTTTGATTATTTTTCATTTACTTTTTGATATTTCAGTAACTTTTTAATTTTGTTATCTTATGCAGTAATTTTTAAGATGGATTTTTGGGGTTACATATCTTAAGAACTTTCTATTTTGCACCTATCAATGTTTGAGAAAGGTTTTTCAGTTGCTTGATTTATATTTTGAAAGATGTGCTGTGCTACAATGTGTTTAAAAGTTTAAAATTTCAGTTTGATAACCACTGAGTTATATATCCATTTATTTATTTTATTTATTTATTTTTTTATTTTGAATTTCTAATTCTTTTATTTCAAGAAATATTTTGATGATATTTGTTTTGCTACAAGTAAGGCTTAAAATTGACAAAAAAATAATGCATCAGAAAAAAAAAAAAAAAAAAAAAAAATCTAAATTTCAACATTACAAGTGTCTAAAAACAAATGTGAGCCGCTATATATACAAGACCAGCAAGAAATAATTTTCCCATTTCAGAAGGCTGAAGAATGCATTGTTTTGGTCCAAATGAGATAAAATTTGAATTGCAGATAATTCAAATGAGGTGCTTGACAGTTATTAAATCAAAATGTTTAGTACAAGAACCAACCAATAGATTGCTTTGCAATACACATAAAAACATTTAATATGCTTTATAAATGTTAAATAATATAAAAGCATAGCATTATAACTGCTCAGTATGTCCCCTTTATGTTCAACAATGTTCTTTAATTGCAGAAATTATTTTTCCACAGCTGATTGGAGTGAGTTTGCCAGAATATCAAGAACATGGCGCTAATTGCTGTCCATCAGATCTGACACAGGTGCAGGCCCATTATGGTAGGTTACAAGAGAGGAATACGGCCTGATCTACCTGGTCTAAAAATAGACCTTATGATCTTGTTTGGATTGCCTTGTCCTTCAGGAAATCCCATAACCAAAAGTCGTAGTGGTAGGATATCCTGCAAACAAGGAGGACATGCTGTTGGAAAGTGCGGGCTGATTACCCATTCATCTATGAAATGCTATCTTAGCAATTGCATTACAGGATGATCAATGTGAGAAAGTATACTATCCTGCATGAAAATGGGGTCCTAAAGGCATCCACACTGTTAAAGTTGTGGAATCACAAAATCTCTCAACATATCATGATACCGTCGTCCTGTAGCGGAACAGGTTTGGATTCCATTTGCAGTTATCCTTTCAAGAAAATAGTCCAATAGTAAAAATAGCTGTAAAACCATACCATACTGTCACTGGTAAAAGTGCGCTTCATCAGTCTACAGAATGTCCCAAGGCCAAGTGACATCAACCACTGTTTGAGCTAGGAACTGAAATGCAAAAGTTTTATGAACCTCTGAGTCTCCATCCTGCAATAGGTGCACAAGCTTGATTTTTTAGGGATAAAAACTCAAAATCCACCATAAAATTTTTCATACAGTGGAATAAGACATATCCAATTTATACGGGTAACAACTGGCACACTCACTCTACCAAGTGAAGACTGACTGCTAGCTTTAGTGACCGTGTTAGCCACATTTTTTATGCCAAAAGCTAGATTTGCTTTCAGCGCCTACTTGGAAGAATGCAGAGTGGCCCAGTTGTTTCAAATTTCTTCATCATCTTGAATAGGACACATGGAGACATTGGACCTCTTCGTATCTGCTTTCTACAATGGAATGTTTTTACAGCCACACAGTAGTTCTCGTGGTAGAACAATTAAACCAGTAGCACTTTTTCTTGCAACTTAGGCATGGTGTGTAGATACATAACTACTCGTGCAGAATATGCCTTCTTTTTATCCAAAGAATAATGCTAATAGGCATGTGCTGTAATGCAAATGATGTTTCACATTTTCAATATATGAAAATAAATACCATTTGTGTTATGAAGCTACCTATCGGCAGATTTCTGTACTAAACTTTTTTGTTTAATGAATTTCAAGCACATCATTGGAATTATCTGTATTTCAAATTTGAATTTATTTTGACCAATAATATGCATTCTAGAGCCCTCAGAAGTAGGAAATTTTATTTCTTGCTAACCCTGTACATATAACCAAGAATGAAATTTTTTGTTAGTCAAAAATTCTTATCACAATTCCTAAGAATAGTTATTGACTTCAATTGTGTGTTTCTCTCTTTTTTTTTTTTTTTTTTCTATAAATAAAATATTTCACAATTTTTTCTTCTGTGTATATTCAGGTTTATTATTATTATCTTTAAGAAAGTATTCAGAATGCAGATCAGACCTAATTCTTTTGAAATTAAGAAAAAATAATTATTTAGACATAGATGGCAATTGCCATTGATAAAGATCAATATATCTGTATTTTAAATGGCGGGATTTAACTGCTCAAATTCTTTGTAGTTAGTTAAAATTGCCTTCTATGAATTAAGAATTATCTATTAAACAATTATACTCATCTATAATATTTTTTTAAAAATTATAAAATGTCTTTCGTCAAATGTGATGTGAATTGCATTTAAATAAATTTAAACTTGCATAAACATAATAAGCAAGGAGAAGGAAGAACATGAAGTTTACCAAGGAAAAGATTCCTCGTGATCTTTATATCATATTATTTTTTCATACCTCCAAAAATGGAAGGATGTAAAAAACTGAAAATAAAACTATTTATTTAATTTTGGAATAAAAATATAAAATTTTCTTAGAACGTCAAAACCTCTGCTTGTGAAAAAAGTATGTAATTTTTCACTGTATTCTTGGAATTATCTTTAAATTCACTTTGTGTTTGTATTTTGTTTAAATTTGATGTTACATCTAAAAATATTTTTCAGAATATTATAACTGCAGTTTTAATAGCCAAGAACATTTTATTTACTACTAGCCGCTACACGGCCAGCTTGCTTTCATCTGGCTTTTAAATGTACCGGAAAAATTCCTAAAGGGAACACCAAGCATTTTAAATTTAAAAACTGCACAGAGTTTAACTCTGCAGAACAACTTTATCCCCCCCCCTAAAAAAAAATTAAGGTTTCAGAATTTAAATTACGTCCAAAATGACGTTTTTTTAACATTTTGTGTGTTACCTTTATTGAATATTATGTTCTTTGCACTTAAAACCATAAATTTCAGTTCAATAACAATGTCGCAAAATAATTTTTAAATGAGCCTATCTTTAGAATTTTCGATAGGCAGTTTCGCACGCTGGAGATATTTTAGCAGTATTTAGCAATCTTGCATTTAAACAAGAAGAAAGGAGATGAGGACTTTGGCAAATGCCGTTTCCTCCAGTCCGCGAGGACAAAAAGGGTTTTTTTTTTTTTTTTTTTTTTTTTTTTTTTCCCCTGTCGATTGTTACCATTGCTCACTTTCAAATCATTGAGTTTGTTACTCAAAAATTCTTTAACATTTTACAAAATATGAAATTGATAATAAAACAAATTTCAAATTTGGGCTTCCACATGCCCATATTCGCAGTAGGATTACGTCATTCAAAATTCAATAGCTCTATGTACCATTTTTTTATCACAATGCGAGAAATATATGTACATTTATGCAGATTTTTCATTATTTAATTTCTTCAAGTATAATGCAGGACTCTAACATTTGGTGGCAACAGTTTGAAAAGTGAAATGGACATTTATAGTGATTCAATGCAAAATCGCAAAACGAAAACAATAGTCCTTCAGGGACAAAGCCCCTTTGGACTAAAATAATAATAATAAAAAAAAAAAAAAAACACAAATTTCAATAAAAATGTATTGCATATAAAAAAAATTTACAATGAAATAAGCAATATCCCTTAATACAAATATTAATTATTGTAATAAATAAATTAAATTTACAAACTGCACAGAATTATCGCCTTCATTTTTCTGAGTGGCAACAGTGCTCATATCAGCAACAATGGCAACAGTGATATATCCTCAACAATGGCTATGTGCCATTGTTGTGCCATTGTTGCTGATATGAGAAAGAATTATGGATTTGATGTGATTTAATCAAAAAACATAACATTAAAAAAAAAAAAACTCATTCGAATTTTGAAAACATCACTTCGAGATGCACTGGCTGTTGTCTAGATACACCTATGTACTCAATTACGTAGGCCTAAGTCTATTAGCTTATATGCAGTATGAACGAAATACACATATACACAGACTCTTTCTGAGGCCAAAAAATTATTATCATTACCTCCATTGTCTTACATAAAACTGAATCTCTGAATAATAAATTTAGCTAAGAAACTGTATTGCACAGCATTTTTATTGAAACAAATAAAAAAGTTTAATACTATAATAAAAATTATTCTAGACAAATACAAGAAATTTGTGAAATTTAACCTTAACTGGATACTTTCTACATACGGCTTTCATAGTTAAAAATGCTTTTTCAAGTAAATACAGCATTTTGTAACTACTGTCATTCAAAAGACAAACTGGAATAAATAATCGAACAAAATCATTCTGAGAAAATTTCTGCACACCAGCAGCCAAGCAGTGAAGTCGCTGAACGCTGGTAGTTTGACTCGGGCTCGAATCTTGGTGGATGGACTGGCTACATGGCGTTTTCATGGTTTTCTGCATGTGTAATGTGAATATGAACCAGTTTACCTTAGAAAGCACTCCCCTTAGGCATCCCTCTGCTTAGGCAAATAGCCCTAGAGGGCTTTGTCATATTCAAGTAAACCAAAAAGTGCAAATTTTTTATTTTGTAGCATAGGGTTTTAACTAGTTATTCCTTATAAACAATTGACTATTCACTATCAACAAAGCAGTAAAATACAGAAATTTTATAACTTTTTACTTGAGGAAAAATTTGTTATGAACTTAATTTAAATTTTAACTTGTATTTTTTTCATAAATATAGTAGAATTATGCAATGCACTTTGTTATAAGTTCAAAACAATAACACACATTAAACATTAATATTTTTACTTGAAAAAAGTTCTCCTTAGATTAAAAGAGTCTGTTATATGAATTAAAGCATAAATAATTAAAAACTACAATAAAACCATATATTTGCTGTTAGTTTAAAAAAGAAAATTTTAAATATGCAATTTCTCCCGCCTTCTTAGCATGCCTTTGTGGTGTAGTGGTCAGCATGCTCAATGCGTATTCAAGAGGTCCGTGTTTTGAGTCCCGGAGAAGGCGTTGCTCATTTTCGTGTCTCATCTTTTCAAAAAAATCCTTATGTCTCTACAGTGGCACCCGAACTAAAAAAGGTGGGGAATGATGATTCTTCACCACCAGGATTTGGCGATTGGGTCCCCTCCCACCTTCTTAGCATGCCTTCGTGGTGTAGTGGTCAGCACGCTCGATGCGTATTCGAGATGTCCGTGCTTTGAGATCAGCGAAGGCATTACTCATATTCATGTCTCATCTCTTTAAAAAAATCCTAATGTCTCTACAAAGTGACCCATCTTCCTTATATCAGAAGTGTTTCAATAAATGATATAAAATAAATATATTTATATCATTGATATTAAAAAAAAGACTATGGAAAAAGCAAATTTAAGGGGGGTGGAAATTTTTAAAGAAAAACAAGTAAATTTCATATTTAAAATAAATATTTCAAAATTAGGGATAAAAGCAACCTTAGGTTGGTGTGGGTTTTGATAAAATTCTGCTTATTTTGAGTGTAATTAGACATTTTTATGTAATTTTAAATTTTACATTTACATGTTTCCTTATAATTTGATTATTTATTTGCTATTAATGTAAAAGTGAAATGATCTGTCTTTTTTTATTTGAAAAAAAGTTTCAGTGATAGGAAATTTTCACATAAAAGATTAACTTTAAATAAACAAAATTGAAAATTAATTTTAAATTCAATGATTGAAAGAAATTATTTAAGAAAAAAGATTAAAAAAAATATTTTAAAAAGTTCGTAGAAGATATTTATATGCTATTAAATTAAGTGTGAAGTAAATTATGCTTTTAAATTAAATTCTCTAATTTAAACAGTTAAAGAATTTTTAAGAGAACTTTCTTCAGTAAGCCAATAAAGTATTAATGTGTGCTTTTGTTTAGAATTAAAAATTATGTTAAATTTTAGCAACACTTTTCCATTTCTTATATAAAGAATAAATTGTGATTATATTGGCAGAATTGAAGTTTTGCTTACATATTCTGTTTTCTTTTATAAAGCTTGCTCAGCAAATTTTGCAACAGAAACAGCAATGAACAGCTGTAATGGCCGTCGAAAGTGTGTTTTGACTGCTGATACTAAAACATTTGGGGTAACTGGCTGCTCTGCCAAGACTCGCATTTTTTTAAGAGTTGTATTTACCTGTGGTATGTATTCAGATCATACAGTGTTAATATTTGAATAAATTAAAATTTTAATATATTTCAAAAAACCATCTACCATTTAAATCTTCTAAAAAATTTATTTTTTTAGTCCCCAAAGATTCTTTGCAAGATCTGGAGTTTCATGAAGAGACTGAAATAGATTATCCAAGCATATTGAAAGAACCTGATGTATCAGAAATTCTACATAATCTAAAGTCTTCTGATAATATAAATATTATAAAGCCCACCACACCATCTAATTACCATAAAGGTTGGTTAATATTTTCAGTTTTCTTGTAAATGGAGACAGTCTACCCAAACCAACATACATGGAAATTACACTTTTCATTATGTAATAGCTGTCAAACTAACAGAACTTCTGATTATCCTTGCTAATTAATGCACAAATAGTCAAAAACTTTTTGTAAAATACTAATTAATGCATGGTACCCTAAAACAGTAACTCTTCAGAGATTTTGAATAACTGTTGTGCAGTTCACTGTTTAAAATAAAGTATGTTTGCCAGTTCACTTGAAGTCATTCCATGCTAATTAACGATTCCATGCCATTGCATTAAGAATATCTCTATTTGACAGAATTCTTGTTACCTTCATTTTTTTCTTTTCTTTACATGTCTATTTCCTTGTATTAGCAAGGCTTTGAACACCAAAAAGAATTTCATTGGAGCCCAATACCATGTATAGTTTAACCATGCTGACCCCAACCATAAGCACAAACACACAAGTGCCATTCATTGATGAAATAGGATTTATTGATGAAATAGGATGGGTGAATCATGTAGTAGCAATTTTTTCCATTCTTATTTTTACTTCCCCTCCCCCCCCCAGGGATTGACACAGAGAACTGTGTGAAGCTTATGGCTAGGATTTGTACCTAGGCGGTCTCGGCCAGAGAGGTGTACAAATAACGAACCTAGTGGTTCTAAAGGCCCCGAAAAGATTGCTTTTCAGTTGACCCCTGGGGCTGGCAGGTTCTAGAGTTTAAAGTTCTGGTAGCCCAGGGGTGGTGCTCTCGTTATGCTGGGTAATGTCGTTGGGTGACGGGCAGCCCATGTGACCAATAGGTAGCAAATTGATGACCAGTTTCACCAAATGGTGATGGTGCCAACCCTCTCCAAGGTGTGATGACAGGAGTTGAACCACAGGACCTGGTTCCGAGGTTGGGTTGGACACATAGTGTCATTTAGTCTGAGGGAACGTGGAATGCCAATGTATTATGTTATTTTCACTGCATTCAAAGGGTACAGACTTAATGAGGCATAAAATTAGTTTTAAGTAATCTAAGATAATATGCTGATCATTATTTCTAATTAACTATTTGATTACATTGTATTTAATTTTGTTACATTTACATTTTTATTTATATATTAATAAAAATGTGTTTTCAAAGCTTAATTTTATTATATAGATATCATTTTGTGGTAAATTGTAAACTATTATCGCATAATAATAATTAATATTATTATTTAATTAGGACATTTATGGTATAATTGTTTTTACAAGGAATTCTAATGTAATAATTATTTTAATAGATTATAATAATTTCCAGTGATAATAAATAATAATAATTATTATAATACTACAATTAAAAATTACCATCTTATTTATCTTTGAACTAAAATATATGTAGAGTATGCTGAAAAAAATTTCTTGATAATTAGTTATAATAATTGTACAATAATAAATGATTGTTGTTGTTATTTAATTGTAATAAATTATTATTATATTTCTTTTTGATTTGGGGACTAAAATCTATATGCATTATTTTATTAGAGTTGAAGTGGGGGTGAACAATTTTATTTTAGAAAAAAAGAACGAAAATAATTCTTGCATGAAAGATCATGATATTGGCAAATACACTACTCAACGCTGAAAGTGCAACACCAAGAAGTAGTGGCCCAAAAATTATCCAAATTTCAGGGTAGATGCACGTCACCAAATGATGTGAATGATGTCAAATGCACAGCTCTCCAGTGCATGTTGAAGAAGATATATGGAAAGGAACCTGTGGAATGTTCAATTCTCGTGCCATTATTTCTAATAGATAAATCATCATAGGAAATTTGTTCTTGTCTCAGAGGATGCATGTAATAGCACAGAATGCCAGGCCATTGTCAATGAAGGTAGTTTCAGCAGACAAATGATTTTACAAGGGGCATGGTGATCAGATTGAGAAGGGCAGGTTAGCCCATGTGGCAAATCTCAGCTGACACACACCTAAACGTGTTCGCAGTACATTGGCTATGATGATGATGGTTAGACCAAGGAAATGTGGTAAGTTGGAGTGGTGCTGGTGCAGCCAGAGTGACGTCAGCATGCGTGGATTGACGCATCTGCTGACAAGTGGTGGCGCACCCCCAAGCCACTTCTACCTCCATTCTACAGCATGTTCAAGACACCCTTGGATGTTCACATATCAACCAGACCCATTTGCCATTGATTGGTGGCTAGTAGCCTGTACTCGTGGCATCCGTTAAAAAGATTGCCATTGACCCCACATTATAGACGCCAACGTCTTCAATGGTGCCGGGCTTGAGTGATGTGAAGGACTGAATGGCACAGGGTCAAGTTCTCAGGAGGAGTCACACTTCTGTTTCTCCAATGATAGTTGCCGCATACGAGTGTGGCATCGATGTGGACACAGGTCCAATCCAGCAGCAATTGTTGAACACTCCAAAGCACAACATTGGGGCATCATGGTTTGGAGTGTAATTGTGTATGATTCCAGGTCACCTCTAGTTTATATTCAGAGCATTATGACTGCCCAATGATATATAGATGATGTGCTGCTGCCAGTGACATTCCCCTGCCTTCAGGGAGTGTCCAATGCCTTTTATCTGCAGGATAACATCCGACCACATACATACTTGCCAATGTGCTCTGCAAGGTGTACAGATGCTTCCCTGGCCACCATTCTATCCTGATCTCTCACCAATTGAACACATTTGGGATGTGATTGGATGCCATTTGCATACCCTACCATTGCCACATTCAGAAGACGAACTGTGGCAAATGGTTGACAGAAAATGGAGAGCCATTCCTGAAGACACCATACGTAGTTTCATTTACTCTGTACCTAGATGTGTTGCTTCATGTATCTCCATCCAAGATGGTCTAAGATGGTCATCGCAATAAATATCACGAATACACATCAAATAGTTTTCTGGTTGCAATTTTCTTAATTTCGACTATGCGTAATGTATGCTTTACACATGCACGTGTTGAAAGAAATGTTTAATAAAGTAAACAAATAAATATTAAGCTTTTTTTCTTGTAAAGTTTGATACACTTTAGATCATAATTGTTCTTTATTTCAGAAATTACGGTTTCATATTTTTAATTTTATAATTTCTGCATGCCATCTTATCAGATTTAAATTGATGATCTCTAATCCAGAAAAACCCCTAATCCGGAATCACCGAAGCCCCGATGAGTCTGGATTAAAGACTTTGTACTGTATAACTTTTAAGCCTCCTGTTCCTTCTCCTTTCTTCTTCAAGTTGAGAAATTTTGTAAGATCAGCAGTTTATTAGGAACTCAATATAATTAAAGAAATTTCTTCAAACTGTCTTAAAGCTCGATATTTAATATGAATAGGTGGTATGAATATAATTTTTTCACAGGAAACACTGCTACTGCATAAGAATGCTCTAAATCCAATAAACTATACATATTGCCTTTCATTTACTAAAAATTTTTAATTACCTTGTGACAAAATTATTATATATATATACACATACTCATTAATTATTTTATTTTGTTATCAGTTGGTTAAGATTTGTGTTAGTCTTGTAGGTAATGAGAAAGTTAATCATCTACCAAAAGACAGAATTTTATAGGATAATACAATTGATATTAAATATAAAAATGCTATCTTAAATATATATTTAAAACAAAATTCAGTCTTTGTAGAAAAAAGTAACATTAGACCATAGCAAAAAGTGTCATTTTACATATGCATTTTTACTGAAAGCTTATCTGTCCTAATCAAGTTTTAACATGTCATAAGGGTTTTCTGCACTTTTAATAGATTTTAAGTTAAAACAAACTTTGTAAGTATAGTTTATATGCATGTTGTAAGTATAATTCATCTGTAGATCCATTGTGTATGTTGTCTAAACCTTAAAGAAATACAAAATACTTCCAACTCAAATTTTTTGTGAAAAAATTTTTGATACCTGTATTAAATTTATGCGACTCTGTTGAAAACTATATAAAAATCTCACAAAGAGAAAGATGCATTTCAAGTAATAAATGATTTTTAAATTTATTTTTGTTGTGGTCTGACATACATACAGTGTGTTTGTTCAAAAAAGCAATAACACCGCCTTTATTTTCACAACCATTGGCCATAGACTTCCAGTTACAAAAATTATTTTGAGTTATGTGAGGCATTTTTAAGTAAAGTGATGCAATATGACGAATGTGCGCCATGTTTGTAAATGTCCTTAGGCAACTATTGTGGTAGACATATACTTTCTATCACAAAAATATTTCAAATAACACAAATATTCATGTTTCGGCATTGTTTAATTAAAGAAATAATTTGAGTAAAATTATGAAATCTGATATCTTATATGGTTGCTTGGTAGCTAGCTATAGTTATATTTAGAATCTTTTGTTTATATTTATTCTAAAAAGATTAAACATAAGAAGTTTAATTTTCATATGCCATTAAAATCATATTTCTTGAAAATTCATAAGTCACTCAAAAATTAAGAGTAAAATATTAAAATTTGTGCATAACCAGAAGTGAAATATTTATTTAAGAAACGGTTTTTGATGTTAATAAGTGATGAGCATTGCTTTGTAGACTGTCATAAAACGTTTTGATTGACACAAATTTTTTCAAAAGTAAAATTTCATTCGCAGAATCTTAGAGAAGTCGTATACTAAAAACACAGTATATGACTTCTCTAAGATTCTGTGAATTTTAGCACACATTCAAATTTTAGCTCATAGTCAACTCATACCATTATTTTCATAAATTAAAAGAAAAAAAATCTGCTAGACCATTGATTTTTTTTCTTCATATGTTTATTAGATTATGAATCTGAAGGGAAAAAAAAAAAAACTTCCATGTTAGTATTAACAGTACTCTTTTAGCATTTGAAAACTTACTAATTACTTGCACAAAAGCACTTTTGATATGCCAAATGTTAAAATGTATACTATATATATGTAAACTAAAAGTTGTTAAGCACTAGTAAATCACAAAAGAATGTCACTGAATATTAATAAAAAAACTTATCCTCATATTATCCTAATTTATTTTTAAAAAAACCTCTTAAGCAATAAAATTAAGTTTTTTGCCTTAAAAGATCTTACAAAAGGCCCCCAACCTTTTTGTATTTTATTTTCTAGATGAAGCATAAACTTTTACTAAATATAACTGTAAGGAATGCAGGGCATAAAAAAGTTAATATTTTATAATTTTGAGAAATTCATCATATACATTAATCATAACAAATATTTATTTCACCTAAAAGATTTTTGCAAGTGGATGTACATGTCTGCAACCAAAAGTTGCAAAAATAAAGGTGTCATAATGATTTTTATGGGCATACTATATATTTGTATGCCCATAAAAGCCTATATATTTGTATGCCCATAAAAGGCTATATATTTATATGCCCATAAATCTTACACATTATTGTTGTGTAAGATTATAAAATAATGTAGATTTTGTGTTAAGATTAATAAAATAGGAAGTATGTTTTTAAAAGTTCAACATTGAATTTATTGGTTTTTAAAATACCTAATAAATTATTTCTTGTAGTAAGAGAAATTTCAAAATATTCATTATTTTTAATATAGATTATTATGTGATTTTTTAATAATTTAAAATATACAGGATTTGATCTCTTATAATTGGTCATATTAGATATGCGTAATATTAAGTTAATGTTGTATATACTTTTTAGTGTCATTTGAAATAGTTTTTATTATTTTGAACAAGCATGTAAAATTATCTCTTGTTAATCAAGTTATTATAATTATTAATTTTAAATTGATTCCATAAGATCAAGTTATGGTTTATATGAGGGTAAGTAAATCCCCCTCCCATGTGATGTGAAATCATTGGACATTTGACTTGTGTATTTTTTATAGGATGTTACGTTTTTAGCTATGTGTGCTGGATATAATTCCAATGTTTTTTAATCCAACTATTTATAAATTTATTTATGTATTGACACTGGCTGCCCAAAACGTAAATACTTGCATGTGATCACAGTATTATAGAATATCACTTACATACTAAAAGCATCAGGATGTGTGTGCTGGAATCAGTTCTAAAAGATAAAATTTCATTCCAGAGGAGTGATACAGTATGATAGAATATGAGTGAAATAATTTTTAATCATTACGTTATAAGTGCTAGATATATGCTGTGCATAATTTGAAAATTTGAACTAAAAAATATCCATAGCATAAATTTTTTTTTCATAATTAAACTAGATTCCTGACTTCCAAAAATAATGAGTTATGAATTATTGGAATTAGCATTATTAACTCATCTTCATATGCACCTAGTTTAACATATGCAGATACTGATTGTTTATTAAAAAGCATTCAGTATCAAAATAATTTAACATCACTAGCAACCATGTTTGATAAAATACTGGGGAGGGGGAATGAGTTGTGGAAAATAGTAGATTTTGTAGGATAATATATGAATTCTAAAATGGGAAAAAAAAAAAAAAAAAAAAAGTCTCTTATATTAATTTCTTCTTATTTTTCCACAAGCCAAAATTTAGTTATTTGAAATAACTTGCACTTTTCCTTTGTGTACTGAAAAATTGTTTATTGAAGCTTATGCATTAAAATACTTTAAATATCATAATATACTTTAAAATATCTTTCTGTATAATTTCAGCAGCTATATTTGTGTTTAAAAACTCATTAGCAATACAATGCATTTGAGTTAAAAATTTAGGGTGTGTATACATAATGTAAAGAAAGCAAAGAAAAATAAATCCTTTATGCAGTAAAAAATTATTTACTGAAGCTTACAAATTAAAATCATTTAAGTATCACTCTGAAATGTCTTTTCATATACTTTACACAACTATATTTATATGTAAAATCTCATTATCAATACGGTGCATTAAAAAATTAGGGGAATATGTGATCTAAAGAGAGCAAAAGAAATATGAAACAAATAAGACTTTAGACTGTAACTTTTTTTAAGTTTCTTAATTTTATTTGTCATAAGTTTTTATGGTAAAGTTTAGAAAAGGATATTTTCTGACTAATTTCTACATTAATAACTTCCAGTGTTCTACAAAGTAATTTTATGCATTTCAAAAAGTCATTAATCAGACCATAACAAGGTGTTTAAAGCAATTTTCATCACCTGCTGTATAAAGTTTCAATTATTTCCTTCCAATTAAAATCAGAAGTATTGTATTACTACAATGAAACCTTGTTTCACAAACTTAATTCATTCCTGTTGATAGTTTATCATCAGAACTATTTATACAATTTTCTCCATAGAAATTAATGAAGTAATCCATTCCCAGAACCCAGGTGATTACTCAGAAAAGAGTACTTTATATGAAAGTTTATATGTAAAACCAGTGAATTCATTAAATGTAACACATATACAATATTACTATATATTCAATATTTAACACAATACTAAACATAAAAAACTTGAATTAAGTTTTACAATATCTCTGTGAAGAAAAGTTGATGGCGCAAGTAAAAAACTGTTATTGTATGAGATGGAAATTCCATTGCACGAAAATATCATGTAGTTGCTCTCCCTTTTTTTTCCCCAACTTCCCTTTTTATACTGTTTGTCTCTACTTGAACATAGCTGATGAACAAGCATTTAAAGTCCATGTTTCTTTCTAAATTTTAAAATGTTCCTAAAGCAAGATAGTAGTATTGTCATTGCAAATATTTTTGCTGCAGATTACTACTTCTTTATCAAGTTCTCTGAATCTTTGCACCTTACCTGTTTTTGCACACATTTCACAGATCAAATAACTAGGAATATCTTCCCTTCTGTCTTCATCTGAAGAGATTTCCTCCACTTCATTAAATGCATTTTGGAGCAATTAGTTGCTGGATTACTTGCTTGTATCTTGAGACATCGTTTATCATCCAAGACATTTTTCATGTGGAAAATTTGTTCATGAACCAAGGTTCCTTTGTAGTAAAGATTAACTCAGAATAACTTTTATTCTGCTTTTTTATAAATGCATTTCTAATTTTTGAGGAAATTATCTTATTCAGATTTATACAAGTTTGTTGTTTCATTTTAATAATATTAATTATTTAATTTTGTTGTTTGATAAATTTTGATTATATTGTTGTATTCATTTTAATATTGAAAGTTTACGTGTAATCCTGTGAATGATAACTTTTATGTCTAGTAATATTATAGTTAAAGATCACCATTAACTTATTAAATGAATATTGTTAGGTTTTTGTTTCATATTTCTGTAAGAATATGTGTTATAAAAACAATTTAGTTATTAAGTTGAAAAATTGCAAAGAATAATTCTATTTAAAAAAAAAAAATGTGAAACAGCATAGCAGAGTGTAATTGGCTTTCTTTCTTATTTCTAAGGTTCCATAGATTTAAATGTAACTACAACTAAGAAAGTTGATGTACAAAGTGATGAAACTAGTGATGATTTAGTTGATGCAAATTGCACTACCGTAGATGACAATCAGAAGGTTATAGGCTTCATCACAGAATGGATAGCTGCCTATAAATTTATTACAGGTAAAGTCGTATTTCTAGTAAATAAATTATGCAACATGTAAAGTATAAAAATCTTTTATTCCTTTTTCCTCCATTTTCTAATTTTACTTTTAAATTCATTTAAAATTAATAGTTTTTGAAATGATAAATGTATTCAAAAGTGGATATAAGTTACAATTTGGAAACCAGATACTAATTCTAATGCTTCATTAATTTTTGCTTTTTTCACTTGTTAGTTTATTATGCATTCCTTCTCCGCAGTATCAGTTTTTAATATAAATAATCTTTATAGTATTGGTTGTAAAATTAAAGAAATTGTTATGTATTTTTTGTTATTTTGGGGGTAGGACAGGAAGGAAGATTCTAAAACCAGGCTTTTTTTTAAAAGAATTATTCTGGTAGTTATACAGTATATTTCAATAAAATAAAAATGACATTTTTAATACATTCATTAGTAATGTAAATAATTTTAGTAGACCAATATATAATATGTTTTTGTGCTTACAGTTTTTTCTAATGTATTTCTCAGTTGATAATTTTTAGTAACATCTGTTTTTAAAAAATATTGGTACTTTTTGATTTTCTGCCTTCCTTGATTTCAGTTTTCAGTAAAACTGTCCATTTCTGATGTATTTTTTAGTATACATTTGATAATAAATAGCTCATACATGCTTGAGTACATGTGGATTTGCACACTTAATATTTAATATCAGTTTTGTTAAGCATTATCCACCAGCTCTAAAACTTTAATTATTAACTGTGTAGATTTTTTTTTCATAAGATTTCTTGTTTCTTATGAAATTCCTTTATTTATTATTATTTGTGAACAAGCCAGTATCTATTAGCCATAAAAGATATCCAAACAGTTTTTTTTTAACCAATGAGCTTGTGACGTTTTGTGTGGGGGTGTGCAGAGTGTAGATAATCAGAAAACGACAAATTATTCTGGTATTATGGTTCATAATTTCATTTTTATAAAATAAATCTTTTAGTATATTAACCATATCACTCTAGATAGTACTTGGGGGAAGATATTGCACCATGCATACAGGTTCGAAATAGATAGAATACACACTGAATCAATAATAGCTTGATAAAACTGATTTTTACCAAAAGAAACACTTTACAGTTTTTGAACTTTTCACAAAAATACTAGTACAGCTGTTCTCAGTATCACACAGTATAATCGGTAATTACACTTCAAATTACTAAGAACATTAAACACAGCGCCAATGCAAAGCTCATCTAGAAAGCAAAGCTCCTATGGAGATCTCTCAATACTCATGCTGAACTAAACAACCGAGAGCTAATGCTCTCTCCAGTCTTACATAGTTTTACCCTGGCCACCAGGAAACCTCTAGTACCTTCCATTTCTCTAAATTACTGGAAGGCATATTGAGTTAAAGCTACATATAAGAATTTGATATGGTTACAGTTACATATAAGGATCAATTAGAGTTATTCAATTACAATACCACTTACAGTTTATACTGTGATAGGACCAAGTGGTTGCTAAACTTGGCCACAAAAATTAGTTGCCAAACCCACTGCCAACTTGGTGATATCTCGCCAATTTAGAAAGAGAGCCATTTATAAATGTTAAATAGATTTGCCCCTGTAAGGTTATTTTTCCAGCAGAGTTCCGCCTCTTTTCAAGCATTTCATGTTACATTATACAAAAAAAAAAAAAAAAAAATACTACAGTTTCACATATAATTCAACTAAAATTATGTTCACATAAACAAAATTCATAACAATGCCCCTTTCCCAAGCACTAACATCCAGAGCAGTACAATCCCTGGACAGGAAGCAATACTTACAAATAAGGAAAATCAATGTAATACAAAAACGATTTCAATAAATAACTTAAAAACAAATAGGATCATGGTCTTAGTATTCTATTTACGTTATACACATTATGGAGATTATGTATTATGGCCATAGTAACTTGGCTAGCCTATCCTAACAAATAACTGTAGGATATGATGACTTATGGATTTGAACTCTGATATCGGTCAACCTGCTTAGGACTGTTTGAGCAAAGTTTCAGTGACTGTAGTTTAGGAGAAAGTCTTTTCCATCATATCGGATTCCATAACCACCCCTTGTCATCTTCATAGAATCGACGTCCTGTAGCTCTTGTGTCGTATAAGCTTTTCATCTTCTCCATCACCAAACTGACTTGTTCTTAAGAGAAACTGTGCATCACTTCAAACCATGTGTGAAGATCTTAAATGTACTTACTGCTCAGGCAACGAAGGCGTATCATTAGAGTGACCAAACAAAAGATCTCAAGGCAGACGAAGGTCACGACTCAAGCATCTGGGATGGTAAATAGCCAGTAGTCTGGTGGACAGCATTCTGATAGGCCAACAAAAACAGAGTTATCTTCTGATCCCAGCCCTGTTGATTTCTGGAAACCGTCAACAAGAAATTATTAAGGATGGTTCATGTTAGATATTAATTACTTTGCTTGCCGATAGATGGCAGTGCCTCTAACCTGACTAACTAGGCAAGTGCATGGTATTTGTGCTGCGTCACACTCTCGTCACTTGCCGCCAACCATGTAGCATCAATGTCTATCTTATGTATAAAGTAATCTAATTTAATCTTATAAATAAACAGTAATTTATCTATGTTTGACGAGTCAACATATATAACATGGTGTCAGTGTTAACCATGCTCACAAATTTAATGCATAAATTAATATTTTAAGGATTACGTGCATTTTAAAAACTTGGAATCAAAAATGGCGCATAACCTACCCACGTTGTCACCGTTTAGCGCTGGATCAAACCCTTCTGAAGCTTGGAGACACTGGAAGGAAGACTTCAAAGACTATATTGTGGCATTAAGATATAGCCAAGAGTCGGAAAGCACAAAAACTGCACTTTTTGACATGTTTTTGGTGACAAATTAAAAAAGCAATATCAATCCTTTGATTTGAAGCAAGAAGTAGGCAGCAGTGAAGTGTCCTTGAAAGAAGTGCTACAAGAATTCGACAAATATTTTGCACATTATCAGAATGAGATTTATGCATCATTCAAGTTTCTCAAAATAAAGCAAGAGAAAGGAGAGAAATTCACAGATTTTTACTCAAGGCTACGATGTGCAATAGTAGATTGCAACTATGGGCAGGTGCAAGATAGAATGCTCTGTGATAAAATAGTGCAAGGCATCTCAGATAAAGCATTACAAGAACGGCTAATACAAGAGACAAATAGAGCAAAAAAGATGCTGCAAAATATCATCAGTGAATGCAAGGCGGCCGAACATAGCAAAACACAAGCCACTGAAATGGACGAGAACAAAATCTCTGTAGATGCCCTCAGGGAAAAAAAAAAAAAAAAAACATCGATCAAATCCCTTACAGATAACACAAGTAAAAGAGTGCAAGCGATGTGAGAGAAAACATGAGCTAAATTAGTGCACCGCGTTCGGAACGGTCTGCCGAAAGTGTGGTAGGAAAAATCACTTGGGCAAAAATGTGTCGCGCCAAACCAAAACAGAGAGTGCACACCATTGAACATATGGAAGATAGCAACTCAGAGTTTATTTACCTAGGGGAAGTAAAAACTGTTGACGCAGTGGATTCAAATAAAGCATCAGTCTGGTACCAAAAGATCACTGTAAATAAAAATGAAGTGAACTTCAAATTAGATACTGGAGCTCAAGTTAACATTATACCCAAGAGTGAATTGTTAAAGTGGAGTGAGAAATCAATAATTAAGAAAAATAAACAACCAGTACTGGATTATAGTGACAACCAAGTAACAATACTAGGTGAGTGCTACCTTACATGTAAAACTAAAAAATGTACAAAAACTCTCAAATTTCTGGTAACCACTCTGGAATCATCTCCTATTTTGGGTCTTCAGGCTTGCCAAGGCTTGGGTCTGATTGAAAGAGTGTATCAAGTCACACAGGAAAAGAAACAAAATGAAGGAGACACCAGAGCAACGTGATTACAGGAATTTGCAGATGTGTTTACTAAATCGCTCAGTAAAGATAAAAATAAAAGTAAATGTCGCACCTCATGTTGCAGCACCACGTAAAGTGCCACTTGCTTTGCATGAAAAAGAAAAGCAGGAGCTGAACAGAATGGTTGAAACTGGTATCATAGCGTTGATAAGCTTACAGAATGGGGAGCAACATGGTTGTGATAAATACGCCAAAGAAATTGAGAATTTGTTTAGATCCAAGGCAGCTTAATGAGGCTATTCAAAGACCTCATTATCCAATCCCTACAGCAGAAGCTCTTATGACAAAACTCCAAGGATGTAAAATATTTACCATCTTGGATGCCAAGAATGGATTTTGGCAACTACCATTTGATGAGGAGTCATCATACTTGACAACATTTACAATGCCCTGGGGAAGATTCGGATTTTTGGTTCTTCCTTTCGGTCTGAACAATGCACCTGAGGAATTTCAAAGGGCCGTGGAGGAGATTTTTAGCAGTGAGAACGAGATAAACCCATATTTTGATGATTTTAGCCCTAGGATCGCCGTCTGTCGAAGAACATTGCAAGCTGTTGCAGAAGACACTACTTACGATAGCCAGAAGTGCTAATCTAAAATTTAACATCGAGAAGACACAGCTATCTCGGAACTCTGTGACTTATTTAGGACACGTATTGTCTGATAAAGGCATTGCACCTGATATGACAATCAATATTTACATTTCAAACTACTAAGAACATTAAACGCAATGCAATGCACAGAGCATCTAAGAAAGGGAAAGCTCTTTCAGAAATCTCTCAAGACTCCAAACTTATACTGAACTAAACAACCGAGAGCAGATGCTCTCTCTGGTTTTATATAGTTTTCTCACGGCCACCGAGAAATCTCTAGTACCTACTATTTTTGAAATTTACTGGAAGTTAAACAGTTAAAGTTACATGTACAAATATGGTTACAGTAAAATATAGGGATCAACTATAATTATTCAATTATAATACCAATTATAGTTATACAGTGGCTGGACCAAAATGTCACCTAAATGGTCACTAAGTTTGATGACTTTTATCTATTTCTCACCAAATTTGGCATCAAAACTTTTTCGCCGAAACCATCGTAAGCTTGGTGATATCTCGTCATTTTGGCAAGATAGCTGTTTACTAAGTGTTAAATAGACTTGCCTCTGTAATCTTACTTTTCTGGTTGAGCTGTATCTCTTCCAAGCATTTCATGTAACACTATACAAACAAAACAAAAAAAAAAAAAAAAAAAAAAAAAAAAACTATAATTTCACTAAAATTATGTACACATACACAAATTTCGTAACAGTATCAATTCACAACTGAGGATTCTAGTTTAATTTCCCATATAAAGTTTGGTTGTCTTTCCCCCATGTGTATGTGTGAAATATGTATCATCACTAAATGGATCTTAATGGTCATTCTTAAAGATGAGATGGTTAAATGACAAATATTTGACCATAATTCCTCATGAATATCTAATCAATAAAGTTTAGTTCTTCATTTATTTGTATATTTAAAAAATATCTATGGATAACATTAAGATTAAGAGCTATTGAATATATAATTTCTGCTGCTGTTTTCTTTATTGTGCACCAGGTCTGTGGCTGTTCATAACTAAAACTGCCATCTGAATTCATCTATATTCATGATTATACTACTGAAAATTTTATTAATAGTTTATAAAATATATGATGGCCCATAAGTAGGGGTTAGATGAAACTATTATTGGTCAATCAGAATGCAGAAATGGTTGGTTGTGTAAATTTTTTTTTATATCCATATGTCATATAAATATGGGGCAGTGTCTTTTAGAAGATTCTCTACAGAAGCATCTTTTCTAAAGTACAAAGCCTTCACATGCTTTATTGTAATAAGTTTACCAATAATGTACGGATTTTATTTGAAAAATGCATTTGATATCTTTAAGCAAGAAAAGTAGGTATGTGTTGTATTGCTGACAACTAAAATGACCTGGACTTGCATTTCTAGGTTAAATAAATTTAATTATCTATAAAGTTATGTTACAGTATGTAAGAAAAGAAGAATGTTACAGAATGTAAGAATGTTACAGTATGTAAGAAAACCCCCTACTGGCAGAGGCAACTACTTTGTGCCTCTTTCTGAGGTTGCACAAAGTTCTAGCGCATAATGAAAAAAACCTGTGAATTAAGGGAGGAGAATCCCTACCTGTGTAAGCATGGTGATTCCTTCATGTTCCCAAGTTCCTTGAAAAGAAAAGGAATGTTGCAGTGGTAAATGTTTATAAAAGTACCAAATTATGTACTGTTCGGAACTCTTCCAAGATTACTTACTGATTCAAAGTTTTTTTGAAACTGTTAGTTCTGTTTGCTTTGTTTCTGCCAGTTTTCTTTTCAATGTAAATTGTAGCAAAAAATTAAACTTTTATATAATGATGTGAATACAAGTTATATTTTAGAAGAAAAAAAAAATTGTTACTTATTTTGTCAGCTTTTTGTTAATTGTGTAAATTTATTCTGTTCAGGTTTTTTTTATTATGATCTTTACTTTTTGTTTTTCAGAAAATAAAGAAAAATTCATCTTATATATAACTTTAAGTTTAGGACTTGGTGTTCTTCTTTTTCTGCTGGTGTTAACTTTCCGACTGTATACACAGCAGCAACAGACTCTGAAAAAAGCAAAGCTTAACATATCAGAACCATTACCTCTTACGTTTGATGAAGATTGTTCTGATTTAGATCAATATGACCCACGACAAGATCAAAGTGTTGAAGTTGTTCGGTATACAAACATGTCAACAATCAGGCGACAGGATAGCACCAGCCAGCCACGTGCGCCATTGTCCCATTCCATGAACAATTACTACTATAGTTAGTGATAATACTGTGGTGTGTAATCAGTGTTCTATACAGTTTGATAGAGGCTAAGCTGATGTTTGTGTTGATATGTATTAGCAACTGCAAGATCAAATGTTCCAAGATAATAAGGAATGTCAGAAAGTATGAAGTATCCTATATTATTGCATTGTTATATATTTACATAAAAAAATAATACTCGGAGTTAAATAATTGAAATTTTATAGTTATGTTTTCTTGTAATTTTAATATGCATTTGAATGCCATTTATCTTAACTAAAAAAGAGACAAAACATTTTAGATTTTTTAATAATTAGCTATTTTTGATAGCTAAAAACTGGAAAACATACTTATAACACTATATAGTGTATTTATTATATAGTGTATTTATTAAGACACATTTTCATATCTTTATTATTTAAAATATATATAGTTATATAATTCCCCTTTATCTTTACAATGAGCAGCTATTTTTGTGTTCATTTGGCAACCTATGCAGGCATTTCATGATTCACTGTTTTTTCGTGTAATATTCTAAGATCATGTTTTATTACATAAAGCAAATAGAAAAAAACCTGATGTGTACACCACATGACTTCCTTGTATGGAATATTAAATTACACGCATTTTTTCTTGCATTTCATTTAAACTCATTGGATTGAATTAAATCTACTTTGCCGACAGTGCATAAACCACAATAGAATAAATGCATTCTTTAAATTTCACGCTATTTGTTTACTGTAGCGACACACTGGCGCTAGGTTCACTTAACAGTATTATATTTCGTTCATATTATAACTCAAAATGCACAAACAAAATTCATATCATTTAAAGAATTATCTAATCGTTGCCACATGTTCTATTCAAATACTATAATAAAGCTAGAACAATGTATAAAAGAAATTAAGCAAACAAAACGAAAAAGAAACAGTTTTTCACAGAGGATTGAGTATTTCTCATTCAATTAATTCAGTTCTCACTTCGCGGCAAGGCAAAAATGCATAACTCAAAATATCTGTATTAAAAATTACGAAGTAAATCTTAAACACTTATTTCCTCGAAAAAAATTCCAGAAAGGATTAAGCATGATTTAATTCGCAATAATAAATGAAGGCATTAGCTTTGTTGTTGCGAAGCTATGTTTCTCTAGATTGGCAACAAACCCACTACTCTGCTGTTTCAAATGTAAACAAGCAATGGCCGCCATCAAAAATATTATTAAGCTTAGCGTCACTTAAACAACTTTAAAATTGTTGATAATTCTAAAAATATTGCATACAGATTTACTAAAGGCATAAAAGCCTTAACCAGAAGATAAGAACAACATAATTCAATCATTTTTAAAGCAAAAAATGTACAATTTACAAACATATAAGAGTAAAGAAACTGAAATCACTGAGCCGGGTAACAGAGTGGATATATATATAAATATATTTATATACATTTGGCTTGGCCGATTGCAACCAAAATACGAGGTGCACATCTACATGTTATAGTAGTCCTATATACAAAATTTCAACGTTCTGAGGCTACTCGTTTTTAGAGTTATGCGAGATACTTACATACGTACATTCGTACAGACGCCACGAAAATTTCTCTTCAGAATTAATTTTAAAGCAGTTTTATAATTTTTTTGGAGAAAAAGAGTCTTTTATTCTGTCACGTACAGATATCAAGCAAAAACATCGTTAAATTGCATTCGAAAGCGGTCAAAATGGATATTTTCATTGAAATATGCTGCCCGAAACTTTTTGCGATTACAATACTTCCTTTTTACTTTGTACAAGGAATTAAAAAGTCTTTCATTTAAAAAAAAAAGGAGGTGAGTATTTTCAATTTTTTTATTCACAAATACATATAGTTACTTTTCTGTACCATTTTTATAGTTATGCAAAGTTTTATTACGTGGGGTTTTAATCTATACATATTCCAAATTCTTAACCAGTTATTGACCAAAACATTTCACTTCAGAACTTCTGTGCGGAAACTAACAATATTGTGTTACTTGTACAGCTTTGTTATAAAGATACTTTTTTCCCTTTGAGTTAAATCTAAGTGTATTTAAGAAAAAAAAAAAGTTATATAGATGCAGAAATCTGAGTTATCACATAATTACATTTGAAATGCATGTAATGCTATTTTATTTAATGCATTCAAAAGGGGAAATTTATATCTTTACTATAAAAAAATATTCACAGCTGTGTGATATGCATATTCTTATGAGTGAATTAATTTTTAAAATTGGAAAGCAATTTTTTGGTGCTTATGTCTTTTTTTATTAGCCATGTAAGTTGGTGAAGATTCTGGGAAATCTGCACCAAACATTCCAGTAGAAGTTTGAAAGAAGAAATATTTTTTATTGAGTTACATAGTCAACAAACAGAAGTTATATTGATTGGAATAAAATTACACTGCCAAATATATATTCATTTATCTAATTTTTTCCCATTGTGTTGCCACTGTTTATCCATTTCCAAATAAAGTCCCATGTTGTGCCCATTGACTCCTTTTTTATGCTGGCATCCATTAACTTTGAAAATACATGATTCTATGCTTTTACACAGAGAACAGGTTCTAAATTTTAATCATTTTTTGAAAATAGAAAGAAAAAACAAAGAAATATTTCTTTCCAGAATTTGAACTGTCTCATCAAAGAGTAAATGGGAATAATATTAAGCCAAGTTGAAGATCTTATAATTGTTGCTAAATCACACAGTTTGGTGACAGCTTTTTCTGTTGAAAATTTTCAGCAAGGAAGTACATAGTGTATACAAGTATATAAGTATGCAAATATTTACTCATTATATTTATAGTAATAAATAACACTGAATTAAAATTTATTGCTATTTTTAAAATATTTAAAATATATTATCCTCTAATTAATAGTCATACCTAAATTTATCTCATAGTTTTAAATAATAGAATGCAGTTGCTCATACATATTAAATGCAGTGCATCTTGACATCCCAAAGTATTTAAATTTTTTTTAACAAACTTGTATGAAGTGCTCTGGTCATGATATTAAAGCAGTGAATGACATATGAATCATAGTATGGTTTTATGTTTAACATGTTACTTAAACACTTTATTAAATGTTTTGTTATTTTAGTACTCTCACCTCAAGAATGTTATTCTTTAGAAATTAGTTTGCAGAGTGATATTTTGCTGTTTAAAAAATATAGTTAACTTGTATTCGAATGTCTGTAAATGTATTTCCATTTATTTTTTAATACATATATTGTACTTCAGATTTTTTTCCCTCTTAATCCTCTTGGATTGCTGTTCCAGTGACTTGTTACAAATATTATTAATATTCTAGAGATAAACAACATAAAACCTCATCCAAAATCTTTAACATGCATAACAGTATAAAACTGATTTACGAATCATTATATGTTCTTGATATTGACATAGTAGCATTTAGTATGATATATTTTTACATTATATATTATCATAAATTAAATGTATATCAATTTGAATGTTGATAAATTTACAGCTTAAACTCATAATTTCTAAAAATAAAAAGCCAAAAGTAAAAACAAAGTAACTTCAAAGAATATTAAACTGAATCATTTAGCCTATAACATATATTTTGAAATAAAAAATAGTTTTGGTATTCAGTTAGTTAAAGAAAACTTTTCTAAATTTTTCTTTCACTAACTGTAATAAACAATAGCATTATTTTTGTGATGATTCCTGGCTTTCTAAAGATGTTATTTATTCTTCATTAGTACACTAAATCACAGGTTTAAAAAGTGTAAACATTTTTTTCATTTTGTTTTAATGTAATAAATGAAAAACTGGATAATCTGAAAAATAGTTCAAGTGAAAAAATACATTTCCCCTTTCCTTTAAGGTTGAAAAATTCATAAGCTTAATTTTTAAATTTTAAAAAAGGACCATTTGTCAGTCAGTTATTTCATTTTATTTCTTATTAATTAATAATTTTATAATATATTCACAATGTATTTCATAAGCAGTATTTGTATTTTCATAATTCCACTCCCTAAATTTTGTACTAAAATCCCTGTGATTTTTCTTAAATGTTCTTGCTAATTTAATAAGCGATTAAATGTCCATCATTGTACCATGTATATAAAATTCTGCATTAAAAATTGTGCTTTTATATCAGATTGTCACTGAGCATTCATTAAAAATTTCTTTAAAATAAAAATATCACTGGATATGGCAATCATTTTTATTATATTTTTATTTTACTTTTTTGTTTTGAGAGAATTTTGTGATGAACAAGTTTTTTTAATAGCATTTAATGTTTACAAGAAGAATTGTGTCGTACAAGTTATTGTTTTGTATTTGCTTGTGTTTTTAAATGTGTTTTGCCAAAAAGAAATAATAATAGGTATGAATTACTTATGTATGTGAGGCAGGTCCTCAGTTATAGCATACATAATTACAATTAGTGCTGGTTTCACTGTAAGTTGTTGAACTATAATAAAGAGGAAAATTCTTAGCATTATTAATATGGGAAATGCTGTTTTCAGATTTATTCTAAACAACACAATGAAAGGAACAAGTGCCTTGTGGGACTGAGCATCCTTTTAAATGAATTCTGAGCAATGTTTCTTGCTATTATTGATTTATATGTTTCACAGTATGCATACAAACAAAAATATAAAACTTTATTTCTTTTATTAAAAGATTATATAGAGGCCCCATAAGTTTTATAATGCTTTCTTGAAAGTGTTTGGAAGAACCACTTAAATCCAGAAATCATTTTTTAGGATATTTTATGTGTGTCTGTGATCATACACACACAGACATCAAGCAGGATAATAGATGTTTTTAAGCAGACTGTATTTTCTATAAACTTGTCTCTAGATGCTATTGAATTAATTTTAAGAATCTGCTATATTGTTTCATTATAGCAGGTTCTTTTGCCCAAAAAAGAGCTGTTTTGTTATAAAATTGTAATTTTTTTTGTGTGTGTATTTAACTAATAATTAATGGATAGTTAAATTACTCCAGAATTTAAGTTTTCATTCTATCAGATTTCCTTTTTAAGTTCTTTTCAAGCTGTAATGTATTACACTTTTTTAACTTTACTATACGATGGCCTGAAATTTTACCTAACATTCAATATTTTCTTTATTAGAAGATGGAAATTGCTATCTAGTACTTGAATTGTAGATTTGACCTCCTTACAACTGATGAAACCAAATATCATTATTTGTCCACATAACTGTTTCTCAACTATTTATACTTTTCATCTCTTTTAGCAGAGTGATATTTTATTACCTGTCATTTTTTAAAATTAATTAAAATATGAAATGAAATAAATTTAATATATACATGTGTTTAATTAGTTGTATTTTAAAAAGAGATGTAAGAACTTCTTAAGAAATGTTTTGATGATTTCATAATATATTTTTAAATATTTGCAATATCAATATACATATAGTTCATTATAATTACAACTATTTCAATACATATGAAAAGTTTATAAATTTATTGATTATATATATTATTATTTATAGAACAAAGCAATAAAAAACGAAATATTGTATTATTTGACACATATATATAACTTTAATGGGGGGGTATGCAATATTTCTGGAAATGTTCAGTTATATTTTAAAGTTTTTCGTTTATTTAAAAATTTTTATCTAAAATCAATAGATGATTGAATTTTAATGTTAAGTGATGATGCACTGGTTTATATTGTCAA